CCTTCCTCCTGGTAGAGTCCGCCACTGGGGCCAGTTCCTGAGAAGGGATGGGAGACAGGACGTAGAGATGGGGTGGCAGAAAGGCACGTGAGAGGAGGGGGAAGAGTGGAGGCGGAGGCGGCAGAGTCGGAGCCAGGGGCCGCTGCGGACGCGGAGGCGAAGGCAGAGGCAGAGGCAGAGGTGGAGGTAGAGCTCGACTCGCAGTTGGAGGCGGAGGTGGAGGCAGCGGCGTAGTGTGTGGGTGGGAGTGTAGGCACATGCGGCAGACGAGGTAGACACGCAAATTGCCAGAGCATCTGATCAGGGCATCTGCTCTGTGGACGACTCCCCCGCGGCGGCGGGGCCCTGGCAGGCGGGCGCCGGGTCTCCGTGGCTCTGCGCCGGACCTCTGCGAAGATCCCGTGCTCGAGCAGCCCGCTGGCGCTCGCCCGCCTTCGGAGAGGAGGTCCTAAAGCGCTCGAGGCCTCCCCAGATCGAGGTTTGTCGCCTGATATGGCTGGCACAAGGGTGGCTTTCACTCGGGGTGCTCTGTCCCTACACTTTCCTGCAAACAGGCGGTCAGCAGGCTGAGCACGAAGACGAAACGTGGCGGCACAGGATCGGCCAGAACGCGTTTGTGTGCAGGGTCAGATCCACGTCCGTGCACCAAATATGCAGCGGGGACGACCAATACCGCGAGGGTAGGGGGGTAGGCTCTGAGGTCGTGCAGGGGACCAGGCAGAGAAGGGGGGACATGATCATGAAGCCCATCGCTTGGCATCTTTTCCCTGTCGGGCCTCGCAGCTCCGAAGCGCAGCGTCGCCTCCAGCACCTCGGCGTGACGCATCGACAAGGGTCCAACTTTCAGTAAGGATGAGCGACTTTCCAGGGTTGCCCTTGCATCCTTGCCCCTTCGGCCCATCCCTGGCAACTTTCGCTGGCCAGCCTCACTCGAATAACGTCGGCATGGCCTTCCAGGACCCTTGCATCCTTTATCGTTCGTCTCGATCATACGGGTTGACTGTACTGGTCGTGGCGTCCCCAGGTCCCCCAGGTGGCCGCAGTTGGGCACTGGCCATGTGCATACCACGATGCTGCGATGCAGCCCGGCCCTCGAGCAAGACGCGCGCAGAACACAAGCGACTGTTGCTTGCTGTGGGAACGAGGGAGCCAAGATAACAAACAACGCCTACCTAAATAACACAACACAGCAACAAACAAAAGCACCGTCGCGCGTTGAACGTCGGTGGGATCGCCCAAGAACATGTATATCGTGGCCCCGCTGCCGCCAAAAGAAGCTGAAGACCCTGTGCTAGTCGTCGTCTCAGTCAGTCGTCATCTCAGTCGTCATCTTTCCCTGCACCATCCTCCTCAAGCTTGGCAGCAAGAGAAACATCTAGCAACGTCGTAGTCGAGTCAAAAGGAAACCCCTTCCCTTTGATCCATCCCCTGTCGGGGGGCATCCCCAGAGCAATGAGGGGGGCCACGGGGGGGGGTCAGATACGCTTCCCCCCCCCCGGGGGTCCCAGGGTCTCAGAAAGTACCAAGACAGTCCAAGAGTGCCCCAAGAGTTGTGGATGCCATGACAATGGACACTCTAACAATCCGATCATTGAATGAAAAATATGTTTAGGATGTGTAGAACATGTCTTGGACATCTGGGAATTATTTCGTAGCATGCTTCCTCTCTGTTAATCGACTTTCACAACCCACGAGGCACCCGAGACGGTCCAAGAGGGCCCCCAATCGCCAAACAGTCGGTCCGAAACGCCTTCAGGCCCTCCACGCTGCCCAGGAGGCGAGGCCTTCGGGACACCCACGAGGCCTCCAGGAGCACTCCCGAGGAGGGCCCCAAGAGGCCAAAATCACTGATGCCCTATTTGTTTGTTTTTTCTTAGATTTGAGCGTTCTCGCCTTTTCCACTTCCCGCCCCTCCAAGACCCGCGCAAGAAGCCCCCAATATCGCCCCAAGACGGCCCAAGAGGCCTCCAATAGGGCCCCAGAACAACCTAGAGGACCCCAAGGCAGCCCAAAACGCCTCCAAGACGGCCCAAGAAACCCCCCAGACGGCTCCAATTGCTTGCCCAGACGGGGGACCCGAACGGACATTTCGAGCCCTCGGCCCCGAGAGGCTCCCTTGAGGCCCCAAGAGGTTCCCAAGAGGCCCCAAGAGACCCACAAGAGGTCCCCAGGAAGCCTGAAGAGGCCCCAAGAGGCTCCCAAGGGGCCCCCAAGAGGCTCCCACGAGGCCCCTAAATTCTTCCCCAGAGGCCCCCGAGAGCCTTCCGAAGAGACCCCAAAAGCGCCACTGAGGACTCTGGCCCTTGTCAGCGTCGTCGTCGTCGTCGCCGCCGCCATCGTCGTCGTCGTCGTCTCCCTTCAGGGTCGGCAGCACTGGCCGTAATGCCTTCGTAATTATTCATCGACATTGACTGTGAGAACAAAAACTACTGTTCCTCACAGTGGGGCAACGGCGATGCTTCACATGGCTTCGAAATCAAGCCGATCTGGCCAACAATGCACAACCAAGTATTGACCCGGCCGGGTCAGCCATGCAAAGCCGAGCCGAGCTGAGCTGGGCCTTGTAGCAGCATGGGACGGGAGTTGCCCCTCGAGCCCACAAACTACAGTCAACCCGTACAATCAGGATGCGCGGTAAGGATGCAAAGGCCTTGGAGGGCCACACGGACGTTTTTTTCGAACGAGGCTGGCCAGCGAAAAAGTCGCTAAGAATGGCCCGAGGAGGCAAGGATGAAAGGATACCCTTGGGAAGGCTGCCCATCCTTAGTATGTATGCGGGTCGACTGCACTTGCATAGCAGCTGGCCGAGCTGAGCACGCACTGGGAGAGAGCCGCTCGAAGGCCCCGGCTGGGCAAGGCCGACACGAGGCGGCAGGCCCGCCCGCGGGCGAGCGGCACCTCCAAGGCAGCCGGGTCCGCCTCGGGGACCTTGGCCTGGAGCCCGTGGCCCTTGCGGCATCCAAACTTCTGCACGTACCGCCTGGCCGCGTGGTCCAGCTTGTCCAGCTGCGGGCAGGGGCGCGTCGAGATCCCGGCGGGGTCCTCCTCCTCCCGTGTGGACGCCCGAACTGGGTACGGAAAGAGTGGGTAGAATGCCCAACAGCAAATGTTGCCCCAAACCAACAGCGGCCGCGGTTGGGGAGGCGGCCCTCTGTCTCGAATGGACACAGGCCGCGGCGGCGTGGACAGCGAGTCCTGTTCAAAATGAACCAGATCCGCTGTTGGGCATCGTACCCAGTCTTTCCGTACCCATCTCGTTCGTGCAAATCCCGGGGGGGCGCGTCGAGATCTCCCGGCGGGATCCTCCTCCTTTTCATTCCTACTCCTCCTCCCTCTCCTCCCACTCCTCCTCCTCCTCCTCCTCCTCCTCCTCCTCCGTCTTCCTTCCTCTCTCCTCCCTCATGCTCATGCTCCTCCTTCTTCCCCTCCTTCCTTCCTCCTTCCTCGATGCTTTCGACCCCGCTGGCCTCGTCCACTGCCGGTGTCCCGATTGTGGCGAAGATCATCTCCAACTGATCGCGCGCTGCTGCCTTTCGACAGGACTGAGACGAATCGTTGTCCCGCGACCTGAGTCTCTTAGTATGGTTTGATAAAGTTGAACAGATCTCGGTATGATCAATTTGGACGCGCAATGCACCAGGAGAGCTCAGAATCGAATCGATAAGCCGGATCGGCGATCGAAGCGAATCGGATCGGCGAAAATCGGCAGCCGAGCCGGGAAAGTCGAATCGGCAGAAGTCGGCAGACTAGTACGCCTTCACTACGAAATCGGGACCCAAAAATCGGCAGCAATCGAAAACGAATCGGATCGAATCGGAGGAACCGACAGGAGCCCTGCAATGCACGTTCGATGGATCCGCCAAGCCCCGCCTGCCAACGGTGGACAGGCGCGAGGCATTCGGATGTACCCTTCCCCTGGCCATCGCTCGGACGTCCATTTCCTCTGTTTTTTGTCGGCTTCGTGCGTGGTTCTTTCGCAAATGATCAAGGCTGCTCCTCGATGGTCCTCGCCGAAGGAAGAATGCGCACGTCCGAGCGATGCCAAGTCCCACCCCCCCCCCTCACTGAGAGTCCAGAGTCCCAGTCTGAGGGGGGCGGAGCGGGAGCTCCGAGCCCGGCCCTCCGGCGCATCGGCCTCGGCCCTCGAGCCGCAGGGATCGTCCTGGCCCTCGGAGCAATGCAGCCCCCCCACAGGAGGAGGAGGAGGAGGAGGAGGAGGAGGAGGAGGAGGAGGAGGAGGAGGAGGAGGAGGGGGCCACAGTGGCTCGTGAGAGACTCGCGGGACTGCCTGAAAGTTGGCTCCGAGGCAGAACCGACGAGGAGCCCCATACGGGCCTCCAGCGAGGCGCCCCGAGGGGCAAGCACACAGCAGCATCGCCACCTTTTGCCCCCCGGCATGTAGGAGGCGTGGTAAGAGTGCCAAAGTGCTCTGGTGGAGCTGCTGTGAGGCGTCTGAGCGCCACTCCCCCACTGTGGAGCGTGCGGGAGTACCTGTATGAATCCAGAGAGAGAGAGAGAGACACGAAGTACAAGTGGGGGGGGCACGAAAAGAGAGAGAGAGAGAGAGAGAAAGAGAGAGAGAGAGAGATAACGTTCCTTTCCTTTTGCGGGGGCTCGCGCGCGCCCGCGGCCGGCGCGCCAAGCAATTCAGGGGCCCTGCGAGCCAGGGCAGCGGCAGGGCAGGGGAGGTGAGACCGAGGCGCAGGAGGAGGAACGGCTGGACTGTCTGACAACCAGACCCTCCCCGCACCCGCCGCACTCCCCGCGCCCACCCGCCCCTCCCAGAGTTCCCTGCGACGCCCGGGGCGCGTCCCCGGGCTGGGGCACCTGCAGAGCTCTCCGAGGCGTCCAGGGGCGGCCCAGGAGGGCACCAGAGAACAGCCTCGAGAGGCCTCCACGACACCAAAGACACAGGCACGAGGCCATCCAGGAAGACCAGCATCGCCAGAAATCCTGAGGGCGTCCTCGGGTGTTTGTTTGACTGCTTCGTATCCCGCACCTCTCGGCTCCAGACGGTTCCAGCAGAGCGGCAAGAAGCCCCCTGGACGACCCAGGATGGCCAAACAGGCACAACGACGGCTCAAGAGGTGCCTAGGACAGTCCAATAGGGCCCCAAGACAGCCCAAAGACTCGCCAGACGGCCGAAAGGGCCAAGGTCGACACAGGACGGCACTATGATGGCCCAAGAAAGCCTGAGAGGGCCCCAAGAGGGCCGTTAGACGGTCCCCCAGGAGCGCCAGACACACCCAGACGGCCATGGCACGCCTCATGAGAGCTCCCCAAGGGGAGACAAGAACAACAAATTGAGAGGAGAAGTGGCACATGTCACAACATTCCGTATGTTGCTAAAACCGCCACACAAAATATCCTGCGGCGTTCGAAAGATACCGGTATCCGGCGGCGCCGGATGCGAAACGTGTTTCGTTGTCCCTTCCTCCTCCTCCTCCTGCTCTTCCTCCTCCTCCTGCTCCTCCTCTTCCTACTCCGCCTCATCTGTATCATACGTCCTTCTCATCATCGCAGTCATCATTATAAGCAGCAGCAGCAGCATCATCATCATCATCATCATCATCATCATCATCATCATCAGCATCATCATCATCATCATAATCATCATCATCATCATCATCATCATCATCATCATCATCGTCATCATCATCATCATCAGCATCATCATCATCATCGTCATCATCATCATCATCATCATCAGCATCATCATCATCAGCATCGTCATCATCATCCTCATCATCATCATCAGCAGCATCAGCATCAGCATCAGCATCAGCATCAGCATCAGCATCAGCATCATCATCATCATCATCATCATCATCATCATCATCATCATCATCATCATCATCATCATCTCCAGCATCACCATCATCAGCAGCAGCATCAGCATCATCAGCATCAGCATCATCAGCATCATCAGCAGCATCACCATCAGCATCGGCATCATCATCATCATCAGCATCATCATCCTCATCATCGGCATCATCATCACCAGCATCATCAGCATCGTAAGCATCCTCATCATCATCATCGTCAGCAGCATCATCAGCAACAACACATTCATCACCCCCATCATCATCAGTCTCCTCCTCCTCCTCCTCCTCCTCACCATCATCATCATCATCATCATCGTCAGCATCATCGTCATCATGATCATCATATCATCCTCATCCTCATCCGAATCATCCTCAGCATCATGATGCTGATGCTGATGCTGATGATGCTGAGGATGATGATCATGAGGATGAGGACGATGATGAGACGGATGATGATGATGCTGAGCATGACGACGATGATAGTGATGGTGATGATGTTAATGATGTTGGTGATGATGATGACGATGCTAATGCTGATGCTAAGGATGATGGTGACTAAGATGATGATGGTGATGGTGCTGATGGTGATGATGCTGATGATGATGATGCTGATGATGATGCTGATGATGATGACGATGTTGATGCTGATGCTGATGCTGATGATGCTGCTGATGCTGATGCTGATGCTGATGCTGATGCTGATGCTGATGCTGATGATGATGATGATGATGATGATGATGATGATGATGATGATGATGATGATAGTGAGTGATTGCCTGCCGCGCTGGTCTGCCGTGTTGGTCAGTCGACCTAGTCTACCGCCTCAGGCGTATGATGGACCTTGTGCGCCGTCGAGGGCTCTTGGGGCTCTCGTCGGTGCTTCGATGACCTCCTGCGAGCTTTTTTTTGATTGTCGGAGACTGCTGGGAGCCCCGTCGAGGATTCTTGCGCCCTCCTGGACTTCCCAGGCAGGTCTCGAGTCAGCGGGAGCTCTCTGGGGGCCATTTTGGCGCCCTCTGGGGCCGCCGTGGCGCTCTCCAGGACAGCACGGGAGACTCTGCCTCACGACAGCCCTGCCTGCCTCGCCCCGCTCCTGCCGCGCTACGACGCTTCCACAAGCGCGGTGGCGGACGTGCGCGGCAGCGCCACTGGATAAAAAGTAATCCAAGCCATGAGTCCTAATCTGACTCCCAAGCACACTCGCACCCTGCCCCCCTGGCCGCAATCCTTGGCAAGAACTCGAACCCTGCACCCCAGCACCCTTCCACCCGACCCCTGACAACAAGCACCAAGCCAACCCTACACCCTATACGCCCCGTGAGATCCTTCAGCTCAGCGATCTGGCCCTTGAGCGTCCCCAGGGCGACTGGGGAGGCGAGGATTACTGAACTGATGGATTTCGGTATGCCAGGACACCCAAATCCATCAGTTCAGTAGTCCCCGCCTCCCCAGTCGCCAGGGAGACGCTCAAGGGCCAGATCGCTGAACTGAAGGATCTCAGGATGCGTACCCTGCCCGTACACACTAACGCTCTGACCCGCGGCCTGGGTGGCGACAGCCCCTCGCGCAGACCGCCGACGAAACCCCCCACCCACGGAGAAGCCGCACGGCGACGGCGACGGCGGCAGCGACGGCGACCGCGGCGGCGGCGGCCACGACGACGGCGGCGGCGGCGGCAGCGGCGGCGACGACGGCGGCGACGGAGCATCGGCTACACTCAAGAGTGACCCTACACTAAAGAGTGACCCGCGGCTGCAGGAGGGGGCGCGGAGAGGCCCAAGCCGAGCGCGCGGGCCGCTGCTAACTCGTCGCGTCGCACTCGGCAACCCACCAAAAGCCACTCCGGCGAAAGGTCACTCTTACGTGCAGTCGAGAGCAAACGACTCGCCAGTTGGCCTAGGTCGGGCATGTCCTCCTACAGGGCGATCTTGGATGAGAGATAGAAAAGAATCAAGAGTACTCGAAAAAACATCGAGTCGAAAAATCGTCCCCTGACTACTTTCTGACTCCTGTTGAATATCCGACTTAACACCAGGCTACCTTTAGAGGCACTCCTGTAGAGGGACCCGGCCCGACTTAACACTCGGAACCCGGCCCGGGGCAACCCCCCCGAGCGCGCCCGCCCCAGGCGCGGGCCGCTGGGCCCGCGGCAGCGGGTAGCAGCAGTCGCCGGGGAAGAGTGGGCCGCGGCGCTCGCGGGCCCTGCCGGAGCCGAGCATGCCCAGCAGCTCCCCAAAGATGCAGCCCACGGACCTCGGGGATGGACAGAACCCCCTTTAGTAAAACGTGGTTTAGTGAAAACGACCTGAGGCCCAAACCTGGCGGGCGCAAGCCTGGAAAATAGCGACCGCGGCGCCCTCTCGAAAACCGAAAACGGACAATTCACTAATCGACGTGTCACTGTTGGGGGTTCTGTCCGCCCCCGACTACTGGGGAAACAAGCCATGGCAGAAACATAAGAAGATCGGAAGTCCGCGGCGCCGGGGCCCCCTGGCGGCGCCTACGGCGCCGCCCCCGGCACGCTGCGCGCGCCAGGGAACGCGGATCCGAGGAATCCGCGCGGACCTCCGGCGTGTTGTGTTTGTGTGATTCTTCGTGCCCCGAAGATCAAGGGGCCCTGGGACACACAAATCAATACACGCAATTAAAAGGATTCCCCATAGTTTCCCATATTGTCTGGGTTCCTGTCTTCCCCCCCACTTCCTATTGTTTCCCATATTTTCTGGGGAATCGAGGATTAATTGTGTCTGTGTGTTTCTTTCCCTCCTGAGTTCTATGTTTATGTAATTCTTCGTGCCCCGAAGATGCAGCCCACGGACCACAGGTCGAGGGCCGCGGTGTAGTCGGCCTGCAGGAGGATCACCTCGCGAGCGCGCGCCGAGGCAGGGAGGGGCTCCACGCTTGCCCGCCACGAGGGCCAGCGGCAGACAGAGAGAGAGAGAAGGACCAGCGGCAGACATAGATAAAGGGGCCCCAGGGCACACAAGTAAAGACACACAAATAAAATGATTCCCTGTATTTTCCCATATTGTTAAGGGTTTTCGTCTTCCCCCCACTTCCCATATTTTCCCGCATTTTCTAAGGAATCGAGGATTAATTGTGTCTGTGTATTTTTCCCTCTCCTGAATAGAGAGCGAGATATAACAAAAAAAGCTGAGACGACGACGGAGACACGAGAAGCGCGGCAGAAACGAAGCACGGAAACAAGAAACCAGACAGACCTTGGCATTCCTCCACGCATGAAAACGTGCACACGAGACACGGTGGCGGATCTCTCCCTCCCTGCTCCCTCCCTCCCTCGCTGCAGAACACAAGCGCGACACGAAGAACGACGACGGAGCGCCGGCCCGACGGACGGCCCCCGACCCGAGGCCAACGAAGGGGCGACGCAGAGGCGACGGCCCCCCTGAGGCACGTAAGGCGCGCCTCCCGCCCCGCCGGGGCAGCCCCAGCGGCAATGCCACGCTGAGGGAGGGCGTTGTACCTCACTCGCTTGGGGGCCGCATCTGCTCGCGGCCATGTACCCGGGCGTGTCCCCCTGCAGGGGGATTTTCGACGAACAAAAAAAAAATACCCCAAAAATGCACCAGAAAGGTCAAACAATAGTCAAAAAATAGTCCCCAGATAATTTTTGGACTATGTTTTGACTATTGTTGGGGTATTTCTTATCTTTCAAGGGAAAGGCCCGACTTAAATGTACCCCCGTGCGTGTATGGTCTCGGCACCATTGCCGGCGCGTTTCCACAGCAACGGGTGAACATCGTGGCCCTGTGGTTCAGCATCTGGTCGTTGGTGTTGTCGTCGCGGTATGCCTTGGCTTGGGATGATTTCGAGACATTTCAACCTGATCTTGATGATGTTCAGGTGGAACGTGAAGTTGAAGGGGCCCCAGGACACACAAATAAATACACACACATCAAAATATTCCCCATATTTTCCCAGATTTTCTGGGTTTCTGTCTTCCCCCCCCACTTCCCATATTTTCCCATATTTTCTGAGGAATCGAGGATTAATTGTGTCTTTGAGTTTTTGTCCCCTCCTGAGTGGTGGCGAACGCATCGCACGGCGCGCCGTCCGCCGCGTGGCGGACAGTGCGCTCGGCGCGGCACACCCTCCCGCGGGTGGTGCGGAGCACCCTGCCCGCAGGGGCCAGGATTGCCCTCCTCCTCCTACTCCTCCTCCTCCTCCTCCTCCTCCTCCTCCTCCTCCTCCTCCTCCTCTTCCTCCTCATCGTTTGACGTTTGCCATACTATAAGCGAGGCTTCAGTGTTCTAATCCTCCTCCTCCTCCTCCTCCGCCTCCTCCTTCTCTGCGTGCCTCCCTCCCTCCCGCCCACGCCCGCCACCCCTTGGGAGCGGCCAAGAGGGGGGCGTCCATGAGGGGGGGGTGCAAATCATGGCCGGCGGCATGTGCGCGGCCCAGGGGGGGGGGCCAGGGACGCAACGAAATAAGAAGAGGCGCCTTGAAATCTGGGGAAATATCATGGCCCCCCGCCATGATATCCACCTCCCCAGTCCCCCCCCCCCCATTTTTTTTCCGCCCCTCTCTCGGGGCAGAGGGGGGGCAGGCCTCCTCCTCCTCTCCTCCCTCCTCCTCCTCCTCCTCCTCCTCATCCTCCTCCTCCTCCCTCCTCCTCCTCCTCCTCCTCCTCCTCCTCCTCCTCCTCCTCCTCCTCCCTCCTCCTCCTCCTCCCTCCTCCTCCTCCTACTCCTCCGCCTCCTCCTCCCCCCTCCCGCCCACGCCCGCCACCCCTCTCGGGGCAGAGGGGGGGCCAGCCTCCGGGGCGCGGTACCACCGGGTGCACACGTGGCTGGTCAGCTCGCGGTGGGCCTTCGCGTGCCTCGGGTTGGGCAGGCGCTCAGCGCCTGGCGGGGCTCCGCTCCCCATGCGGGCAAGATTCATGTCCATATCCAGTGCCTCTTGGACTTTGGAAGCGGCGCCACAAGGCCGAGGCGCACTGGATATGGATAAAAATCGAGCCTCTGGGGGGAAAATTTATCCATATCCAGTGCGCCTCGGGTTTCTTGGGAAGGGAGCCCGAAACTCCATACTGCAGTGGACATAGACATAAGTATTGCCCGCACCCCAGACCCCCTCGCGCTGCTGGACGAGCGCGCTCCACGACTCGCAAGAAAAACAATCGACTCGCAAATGGCCCGGGCCCGCCGTGGGGGATCCACGATCAACGACATCGAGGGAGGACAAGTTCTGTCGGGCTTCTGCGAGCACGCACTCCGCGAGTGCTGGAACGCGCTCGTCGACCTGTGAGACGGAACACGTGTCGCTAAGTTCGGCCTCCGGGGGCCCCTGCCGGGCCCCGGGGACCGTCAACAAAAACGGCCCGGGATGAGACACCGTTTCCCGGGGAAGAGGTCGAGACCCATGGAGGCCGATGATGTGAAAAAGTCACGACGTCGGGGATCCGGGTCGGGGCCGCGGAGGGAAGGCGCGCGGCTCTCCGTGCGCCGCCCGATCTCGTGCGTGCTCGTGTTCTTCGAGGCGCTCCAAGATGCTCCGAGATGCTCCCTGCCGAGATTGGCGGCGAGCGAGCGGGGGAAATGAGAAGGAGAAGGCCTTCTCACAAGGCTCGGAAGGGCCCACGGCCTCCTGAGAGAAGCTATCTGAGCCTTCCCCGGAGACACAGACCAAAAACCTCTTAGAAGGCTCAGAAGGCGCGAGGGCTTCTGAGAAGTCCCGCCGCCTTCTGAGAAGGCCTCTTCCTTCTCTCTTCCCCCCCTCGCTCGCTGCAGAATTTGGATTTGGGGTCATGGCTCGGGTCTCTGGCGGGCGTTCGGGACGATCCGGGCACCCCCGGAACGCCCGCGGCGAGGCGCAGCCGCTGGCAAGCATCCCGAGGCTGGAAAGCCGCTGAGAACCGACGAAAACACCCGAAAACCTCGAACCTCGAACCTCGAACCTGAAACTTCCCCCTTCTCACTTCCCCCCCGTCGCTCGCCGCCGATCGTCGCCCGGCTGCAGGGTGCTCACTCTGGGGACAGTCCTGGAGACACTCGCTCCACTCGTGCGTCGACGCGGCGTCGAACGTCCGCCGATTTGAGCCGACCTTGCGTCGAACCTCAGTCGAACCTGCGCCGACCTCGAGTCGAACCCGGAGTCGAACTCGAGCCGAACTGGGATCGCACTCGAGTCAAAACTTCCCCCTTTCGGGGATGGACAGACCTCCCTGTAGTGAAACGTGGTTTAATGAAAACGACCTCGGGCCAAAACCTGGCTGGCGCAAGCCTGGAAAATGACGGCCGCGGCGCCCTCTCGAGAACCGACAACGGACAATTCACTCATCGACGTGTCAGGGTAGGAGGTCTGTCCACCCCCGACCCTTCTCAGAAGGCCTCCTCCTTCCTCCTCCTCCTCGCCTCCCCTCCGCGCCCGAGGGCGACCGCAGAGCGCCCGCTGCCCGGAGCGCCCCGGGCGCACAGCACGCACAGGGCCGCCCTCGCCACGAGGAGCCCGCACGGGCTCCGCGCGGGGGCGGGCGGGCCGAGACAGAGGGCCCCGACCCCCGACACGACGACGACGACGCCGACGACGACGACGACGACGACGACGACGACGACGCCGACGAGGGCGAGGACGCCGACGAGGACGACGCCGACGAGGACGACGCCGACGAGGGCGAGGGCGAGGGCGAGGGCGAGGACAACGACGAGGGCGACG